AGGAGATAAACGACAAATTGAGGGGTTAAAGGAGTAATAAAGTTTTGGGTGAGGAAGGTAGGACCCACATACTAATATTTAGCAAATTGCTAGGTTTCGGGTATGAGGACTTAAAGTATGGGGTATTTATGAGATGGCCCCGAAAGTGTTGATTTATTGCCAAAATTGTTGGGAAAAAGACAAAAAGTAGTGAACGGCGTCCTTTGAGGGACAAAAGCTAACGAGCGTGGGGGGAACGCCATAAGGCACGTGACGACAAACGGACTCCGTCAGGGCCTACGGATCTGACACATGTCAAAATATATTTGTCTTTCTATTCTCCTTCCAGTATCGTCTTGTTATTTTTTAGTATTATTTTTGTTACGATATGTTGTTTTCTATAGTTATTGTTTTGGTGTAGTATTGTTTTATAACTATATACATAGCATAAAAAAAATATCAAATAAGATATTATTCTTACTAATACATTTTATGAAACGATGCATTATTTGGTATGTTGTTGTACACGTATCCCTTTTGAGAACAGATACCCAACTAGGGTATGGAGTTTTCTTAAATGTGGGTGTGCCCTAAATTGGATAAAGAAAGGGAGAAAGTTGGTTACGTTTTTTACCAAAAATATTTGCCTTTCCGCAAACAAGAATCGAAAGGTGAGTATGCGTGTGGGATTTAAATATGTCTTTGTATGGGACCGATCAAATAAAATAGTATAGGTCTTTTATGGTTATGTCATTTGTCAAAATTATCAATTAATTAATTTAAGTGGAGGAATCATGGAGAATTATCTCAGTATGAATATGAAATGAATATAATCGTCAATGGGTTAGATCCGTTGGATCGACCCGATCTAACTCGTAATTTAATAAAATTGGGCTAAAATTTTTGAAGTTTATTTAAGAAAATGATTTTTTTGTCCGACCCAAATAGGTTTGTTGGTCTGTGGACTTAAGCAATATAGTTGAATCGGCCCGTGGACTAAATAAAAAAGTAATTAAAAATACAATAGAGTATTAAAATAGTAAAACTTCAAACTCAAACGTTATTTAAAGTTTGAAATATCAAACACTTGTAGCTATTCGAAACTGGTTGCATGATTTTCCTCAAGCTTATAATATTTTCTGTATACATTTAAATACTATACGTAGTTCTTAAATTTAGTTTTTTTAAATGTTTAACTAAATGATATTTGCATATAAATTGTAGATGAAAATGAAGTTGTCTTATCGGTATTTATGTTTATAATTTAATTTTAAAAAATGTACTTTTAAAAAAATAGCACAGCCCGCAGCCCACGTACTAGTGAATTGAGCCGGTTGTTTCTGGCCCACAAAAAATATGGACCCTACATGGCTCATCAAATTCCGAAGCATGTATAGGCTAGCCCTAATAGAGTAGGTCCGTCTATATTGACAACTCTAGTAAATGAGAATGAAATTAATCAACAAATAGGAAAACATCTTGTTATTTTAGCCATCACTCATTGGGCTAAAAAGAAATTGGATTCTTCAGTCACTAAATAAGAAGTAAATTATGGAATATAAACAACACAAAAAATACTTTACTCAACAAAGTAGAAATTTACAACTTACTTTAGTAAGATTTACTTGTAAACTCACTAAAATTGAAATAACTTTTAGATTATAACTTTATAACCAAAAAGACTACCTCTACAATTTAACCAATTGCATCAACCTTTTTCAAGACTACATGACTCCTCCTAGTCTAGAAGGTTAACACTCGAAAATTTTAGTGTTCTAATCATCTATTACAAAGCTTTTATGAAAACAATCATGTTACAACTCAAGAACAAGGACCTAATTAAACTTCAACAACTTGTTGATGAGTTTGAATTATAATGCACTATCTCTCACAATAATTGTTATTGCCAAGATCAAGTCCTTGTTTGTGTGAATAACATGTGTAAGCATCAAAATGATGTTTTTATGTAGGAATAGTGATGATTGTGTTTCTGTTGACTTCTTGCTCCAACTCTCATTGAAATTTCATCAAGGAATTCAATCATAGACAAAGACTTTCTTATTTACTTTGATCTTTCACGCAATTTTTCCTAATTTCAAAATTCTTTCCTTTTGTGCGAGCATAACAATATTTCCATGATGAATTCACATTTATTAATTTATGTGTTTATTCGATATACTAAATTCACTTGAAATCTGCTTCATAACTTCTGATCAATTATCACCTCCAGTCGTTTGCAAAGGACCTTGTTCTTTTACTCTGTGCGTAGCATACGATATCTTGATGAAATTGACTAAATATTTGATTCTTGTATAGTTATTTGTCAATCATCAAAATTAATTATAACTTAATTTAATATGTATATTTGATTATTTGTAACAAAATATCATATAAATGAATTGGAAAAGCCAAAGAAACATCCCGTAGACAAGAAAACAGGTTACAAGTTCATTAGTTGTAGTAAACATAAGTGTTGAAGTAGGTAGAAATGATTGATGGAATATAAGTACATTTGGCATTAAAGCTCCTAGCTGGAAATTTGAGGGGTCAAATCTAGAAAATAAGTGAGTAGTGAGTACTCAATTTGTTTTGTGGCATTGCACCTCTCTGTACTTCATATTGGTCTTTCATGTTGTGGACAAAAACTAAACACCTAATCCTTTTTACTTCATTCATTCATTCATTCATTCTAACAAATTTTGACTTCTTCTGAATCATTAGTCTCCTCACCAAGTTTCCTCCTCTATAATCTCCAACTAACATATGATTTAGGATGGATTTAGAGTTTGAAATTTATAAATTTTTATTAAGTATAGTTATAAGTTAATATTATTATAATAACTTAGCAAAACTATGAGGCAAGGGCAGATCCAATTGGTAGGATGGGAATTTAATGACTTTTCTGCCGATTTTGTATTTATATTAAAAATTTCATCAAATATATAAAAGATATTTATGGAAAATTCCTAACAAAGCAAGTCGTTGGTTTAGTGGCAAAAATTGAACAAGTAACAAATACAACTACATACATAGGGGGACTTGAACTCGAACTTGAGATCTTTAATTACGAATAAATTAAAAGAAAAATTACCACTCCACCACAAATGTTTATTGGTACGTTCCAACCCTCTTTACCCATAGATATTTGCATGCATATATGAAACACTTTTAATAGAAGTCATTTTAAGGTTTATATCTTTATTTTAAGGAGCCATTAAGGGTTAATTATGCCATCAACTTTTTGTATATACTATAAGGCTAGCTAGTTGTGTCTTTTTGTTATATCAATATGTTTTTTTTTAGTAATATTTTCATTAAATATCCATCGATTGTCCATTTCCTTTTCCCAACTTATAATAGTGCTTGATCACAAAGATCACATCTAATAGTGAAAGATCATCTATTCCTCTCGTTTTTTGATAGATAAATTAGGGATTAAATCTTCTTACAATTATTAGTTACCCATTTATTTATTCTATATTTTTGTTTGCAAAATGTCAAGAATCACTATCAAACAACCATTTTGGGTCGTTTGGTTGTTGATTATGAATAGGATTGAGTAGTTTTTTTTAGTTATTTCGTATGAAATTCAGCATTTCTAATACTATATTTGGTCTAATTTTTTTCGATTGTGAGACAAATTAAATTTGAATCGAAGTCCTCAAAGAAAATGCAAATGTAATAAAGAAAACAGATAAATTAGAGAAGGATGAACTTCTTGAATAAAAAATAATATATTAAAAAGTAATTGAAATCCATTCGATTGAACATTTACTTGTTTTGAATATGTATTTGTTTTCGATCGATATCTATGAATTGATCACGACTCAAAATATGGTTAGAGCCCTTGTTTATAAAACTTATATTGAATACGATTAAATATAATATAGCATTTTGATATTCGTCATTAAAAGGAGACATTTTATATTTTTTTTGTTAATTAGCATTTTATAATCTCATATAAAAATAAAATAAAATACATAAGTTATCAATATATACCGGGCCAGCCAGACCACAACGCTGCTAAAACCTTGGGTTTAGGCCCCAACATTATTAAGGCCCAAGAATCTAATTTACTACTAAATGTTTTGAATTTTATGTTTTTTATTTTATTTTATTGAATTTAGTTTTTTTTTTTCAGAGTGGATAAGCAAACTAGATAAATTTCCCCTTTTTATTAATTAATGCATTTATCTCTCCCTTTTTATATTTATTCTCACTTTCCATATATATTCATCCTCATTTTCTTTAAAATGAATTTTTAATTTCATTTTGAAGGACAATAACTTACTTTTCCAATTCGAGATTCTCTTTTACATTTTTTTTCTTCAAACTAATAATTTTATCTTTGTTACTACGTCTATTGATTCATAATCAAAGTGCACGTCTTTGAGATTATAAAATCAAGGTACTTATTTTTATAATCTCAAAAATTAAAGCATCAAAAGAATTGTTATATTATTATTTTAAAAAATCAATTTAATTTTCTCCAATAATTCTACTACTATCTTTTATAACAGAACTTGATTTACACAATTCTGAGTAAAATATTTTGCTTATGACATACTCCCTCCGTCCACAATTGTTTGTCATGGTAAGGTTATGCACACCCCTCAAGGAAAATTTAATACAAGTTGTAATTTGACAAATATAACCCTACTATACCAAGAATACCAAAAGTCTACATAACTTTTCAATTAAACTACACTATCATTAATGGCAGAGTTGGAAAAAAGTGACTAATTATTTTTTGATTGTTTAAATTGACAATTAATCTTGGACATCTATTTTTAGTATACCTGCCAAATAATTGTGGACGGAGGGAGTAAATGTTTACAATTTCCATAATACTAATAACTCAATATAAATCATTTTCTAAAATTAAACTTAATGAACTACAACATTTATAAATTTTATTGAGATGTCTTAAAAATTAAAATAACAGCTATAGTTGGCCGATAATTCTAAAACCCTAAAGTGTGTTTGCTTTCTAAGGTGCTTCTCTATCCTTTTAACACGAATCAAAATCTTTATAATTTGTGTGTGCTTTCTCATTTTATTTTTGTATTGCAGTGAAACAATGTGGGCTGTCATCAAAGTTCCAGTTTACATTAATGGAGGAGGAATTCGATACAGTTCAAGCAGCAAAAATGGCTGCAATAGTTTTGTTCGAGGTCGAAAATATTCGGTGAAGATGTGTTCTACTCCAGGACAAAATGTTCAGGTTTCAGTTAAATCAAAAATCGAGCCACTCCCTATAATGGTAGCTTCCTTGCTTTGCTATTATGTTGTTTTAATTATTATTTTTGCAATGATTTTAATTTATGCTGTTGTTAATTGATTTCTAGTTTTAGCAATGTTATATGAGAATACTGTTTGAGTTAGATTGATTTTTATTTTGATGTAAAGGTGAATGGTTGTAATGGCAAAATGGGGAGGGCAGTTCTTGAAGCATCAATCGCTGCGGGACTTCAACCTGTGCCTATATGTTTTGGTGGTCCAGAAGATGGAGGAAAAACTGTGGAGGCGGGTGGAAAAGAGATAATTGTGCATGGTCCTTCGGATAGAGAAAACATCTTGTCCTCTGTCTTTGAGGAACACCCTAATCTAATTGTAGTGGACTACACATTACCTGCTGCAGTGAATGGTAAGACAAGGATTCAATAATTTACAGTGATATGCCAATGACATACAGCAATTCAGTTTGAATCTGCTGAGTTTTGTCATTTTTCAATATCTTTAGGCTGTTATGATATGCTATAGATGTATTGATCGTATTTTTTTTGATATTTCGTGTTTGATGTCAATACTCATATACTTTTGGACATTATCATATGAAGATAAGGTCAATCATTCTCTATGAACTACTTTAGACCTTCCGAGAGGGATTTGTTATAAATGTTATTTCGTTATTAATGGTGTGGAATTACAATCTTGACTGAAGCATATCCACGTGTTATCATAAACAGTAGGTTAGCAACATTGCCCCTGGGCTTTGATCTAGTGGCAGCGTTCATCACGTGTTTGTGGGTTAGACATGCATCACATCTTTGAACCCTGCCTCAACCAAAGTCATGATATTTAAGTGGAGAAAGGTAGAGGGGTGGGTCCATTATCCACCAAGTTTCGAAGTGCGTGCTACTAGGCTCGGGGATTTTCTGTTATCAAAAGAGAGAAAAAAAAGATTAGCAACATTGGTTGACCTTATCAGAAGAAGCAAGTGCAGTCTTAAAGTATGCTTTTGAAGAGATATTTACAGTGAAATGCCAATGACTTTGAACCCTGCCTCAACCAAAAAACATGTATTTAAGTGGAGAAAGGTAGAGGGTGGGTCCATTATCCATTGAGTTTCGAATCGTGTGCTACTAGGCAGGGGAATTTTCTGTAATCAAAAGAGAAAAAAGAAAAAAAAAGATTAGCAACATTGGTTGATCTTATCAGAAGAAGCAAGCACGGTCTTAGCGCCTGGTTTTGAAGAGATAGTTGCACAAGGATAGGAGAAGGGGAGGGTTGAATGATGTGGACAAGAGCAGAAACTAGAAATTAGTGTATCTACTCAGTGGCTACGGAGAATGCGTTGGAGAACCAAAGCCCTAACAGAGATGATGTTTTTAGTGGCCAGCTTTTGGATGAGGCATGGTTAATAATACAAAACAACTTGCCCAGAAGATCGTTTTTTTTTAACTCTGTGTGAAGCTTCTGCTGGGTCTGTATGATATATGTTGATATATTGTAATTTAGCAAATTGTGTATGTTTTGGAACCTTTATGGTATTCAGTGAATGATGCTTGGGAGCAAGCAATGACTAGCTGGAACCAACAGAAGTTAAGTATTATAGGCAGACATGGAGAACCATTCCTTTATAAATATTTTGGATAATTTTGTTAGAAAGAAACCACAGTTGTCTTGAGAGGAAAGCATAGAATATTTCTCTTGTATAATGTATATTTCCTTTCAACTTAAATTTTTTGGTGTCTGGGGAAGTTTTATAATGTTTTTTTGTAAAATGCTAAACTTTAAAGTTTGTCTATAGATACAATCATCTTGATCTTGAGGTTCTTATGAATAAAATTTACCAGCATAGGTAGCTTCCTGTGATATTTTTTACACATGTCTTTAGTGTTGGGCAGAAAAGGGTGTGGAATGAGACATAAAAATACAAAAGCACCAAACTGATATCTATTGCATTCTTTGCTGGAGATTCTATTGACACAGCCATTGTGATGTTCTTGTTTCCACCATGAACCTGCAGATAATGCTGAATTATACTGCAAAGTTGGAGTGCCTTTTGTAATGGGAACAACTGGTGGAGATAGGGAGAAGCTCTACAAAACAGTCGCAGACTCAAAAGTTTATGCTGTGATCTCCCCACAAATGGGAAAGCAGGTTTAGACATTATGCTCTTTTTTTGTCACTGGGTTTATTGTTGTATGCCAGACTGTAGTTTAACAGGAGGTATATCTGTATGATTGCCTCTATTTTAGGTGGTAGCTTTTCTCGCAGCCATGGAAATCATGGCAGAACAATTCCCTGGAGCTTTCTCTGGGTACAGTTTACAGGTTTGTCTCCTTTGCCATGCTAGTTGACTGTTGGTTTCCAAACTCTTGTATCTCATAGTGATTTGAAATGCTGACTATATTCTGTCCATGCTTTCATTCTTTTACCCTAAAACGCTCTTAGTTGCATTACTTGCATTGATATGTCAGTTTATGTTTTCCTTGACATGTATACGAGGCTAATATAAATTCTTTTCATGCGGAGGTTTGCATATTGATGCCCAAATGGCTTTTAAAATTTAATGTTGCTATAGAAGATGTTAAAGCTATTGAAAATTACTTTCTGAAGTTCACTTTATCATTAAGAACTGGAACTCGTTGATTGTTTCTTTGAAGTGCTCTGCAAAATCAGTTTTTCGGCAGACAACAGAATTGGACTTTTTGTGTGATTGGGCAATTCGGACAGCAGAAAGGGACAAACTAAACCACCAGTTGTTTGCTTATGTGATTGATCCAGTGGGCCACTGGATGTTGTTTTTTAATCTTGACCGCTGTGCGATTAAAATGGCTGTTTCTCACTCAATTATGAGCTCTTTAGCAGCTGTTCCTTTTACATCTGGGGTTTCGGTTTGCCTCTTGTGGTTCATGGATGGAGAGAGATAGGCAGAGCATTAAGGGGGCTGAAAGTGACTTGCAAATGTCTGAACATCAAAATACTCCTTTTTCAACTTCATCTTCAAATTCTTTTTTGTTCAACTTCAACCAAATATTGTCCAAACGCCTACTAGATCATTTAGTATCCACAAGGTATCATGCCTGTGTTTTAGGTTATGATTTGGCTATTTGCATGCTCCTGGATTAAACATAGCAATTCAAAGACTGTCTTCTTAGGATTGGTTCTTTTATTATTTTCTGCGTCTAATTTGAGATATAGTGGACAAACTTCATGCTTATATCACTGAAATATGAAGGAACTGGTCTGCGAAGAATTAGTAGAGCTCCTATCCTTTCTGATTGTGCTGTTTAACAATAAGATATTTTATCTGATTGAGATAAATCTGGGTATCCAATCACATATACAAAGTATGCTTATTTCCATGTCTATATACCTGTGCATTCACAGTTCATCTTGTTTTCTTCTTTGCTTACCCAGTTACCCTTTGTTATTTCCTTATTTACAGGTCCTCTTGTAGTCTTATTCATCTCAATTTGTTAACAGGACATTCAGTTTGATTTATAGTATCCTGTGATTATAGTCTGAATTTTGACCCTCTTCATCAAATTATAAGGTGATGGAGTCTCATCAAGCAAGCAAACTGGACACTTCTGGAACTGCGAAGGCTGTTATCTCTTGCTTTGAGAAACTAGGTGTCTCTTTTGATTTGGATGAGGTGCGTCTACTACTTTGCTTATTCAATAATGACAAAACATTGTCCTAACATGGTTCTTCCATATCCTCCTGTCTCAAATTTCCATTCCCCCTTCCAGTTTACTATTTTAGTTCGTCCGGATCGGACTTTTTTCTTTTCACTAAATAGTGAACTCTCTTATGAATAATGCTACTCTACGTATTTGATCGTGATCTTCCATGCTTTTACGAACATGAGTTCATCTTTGCACAACTTGACTAATTGCTAATGCCCCCAACTTTAGTGTTCCGTGTAAATAAGTTCTGATAGCGTAAAGAAAAGCTCAGCTATAAGCATCTAAATTCATAGTCATTGAAGGAGTTTCAGGTCTATGCTGGAGCCAAGTTGAGTGGCAATAACTGCCACAAACAAGTTATTTGTGTTTTGACTTTAACCATGTTTTAGATAGCTGCAATGGGCTTCATGAAAGGATTTGATGGTAAAACCATCAGACTAGTACAATATATGTATCACCTCTATCCACTCCTGTGTATTGCTTCAAAATGGCTTTGGGGTTTCCCGACTTGGGACACACATTCGTCTAGGCAACTTGCAGAATTATGTTTCTCCTTCTTTCATGGACATTCATCTAGCAGAACTCACCACGTATTAAATCCATTGCACTATTTCGATACCAGCAAAAAGTTTAGAGTGGATTATATTTCCTGTAAGGCATAAATGTTCTATTAGACTTGTCTGAGTGGTTTTTCCATCTTTAAGTGGTGGTGCAGACTGCCAGTTCAGTCCATTTTAAAACTATGTTTTAAGTTTGGAGGGAAAGGAGAATGAAATGGAAGACAAAAGGTCTAATATATTTTCAGGGTCTTCTGGTTTTTGGGAGGAAAAGAGAATGAAAACGAATGATATAAAGATTAAAATTAAATTGGAGTCGAAGCATATATAGAGAAATTCAATTTGCTGTCTAGCCTTGAAATTGATTTCTATAACTTGCATTGAAGTGAATGTATTCTGAAAGCCCTAGCAGAATATCCTAGTTATCCTCGTGTATATTCTATCAGGTACAACTAATTCGAGATCCTGTGCAACAAGTTGAGATGGTTGGTGTCCCAGAAGAATACTTGTTAGGCCATGCTTTCCACATGTACCATTTGACCTCACCAGATGGAACGTAATACTGTCTATCCGCTTTCTTTTTGTTGTTGCCAATGTCTTTAAAAATTGAACAGACATTAATTTGGTTTCTCTCTTTCAGGGTTTCTTTTGAATTTCAACACAATGTTTGTGGTAGATCAATCTATGCAGAGGGAACAGTTGATGCTATACTATTCCTTGCTAAGAAGGTAATCCAAACTTACAAGAGCTTCTCATTCCTGCAGTTTCACCATGTATCTCAAGGAACACAATCAGTTTGAAATAGGAGCACCTTTTTCTGTTTTTGCACAGGGTTTTATCGACCTTTGCTGTTTATACAAAATAAAATAGAATAACAATGTATTGATTCAAATATAGGTGAAATTGAAAGAAGAGAAGCGGATATATGACATGATCGATGTGCTGCGAGAGGGCAACATGCGATAACAGCTGAGTTACATATGCTGGAGTAGTAGGATGTATAACATTTAGACCTGTCGGTGGAGAGAAACAAATGGTGGGTTCATTTTTCTTGGTTTGGTCCTTCCTGTGGTTCTTGATGCTTTAGGATCTGTAGTTGAATGATTCTTAAGATGCAACAATCAAAATAATATGACTAGTAGGTTTAGCTCCAGCCTCCATGCAAGCATTGAGTGTGCTTCTCTTGTTGTATGTTTTTTCTTCCCTTTTCATTTGTACTACCAGAAGAGAACGAATCTTATTGGAGGTTTCTGATGTTCTTGACAAGTAAAATATTCACTATGTATCGAGTTTTGACTATTTCTCTGTTGAGATTACTACATGACCATTTACATTCAATAGGTTTGATCTGGTTACATTGTTGTAGTTATGCCTGGATTAGATGTAATTAATCTTGCATAGAAGCAAATAGTATACCAGTAGTAGTTAATTTTTTCCCCATCTCTTCTACCCTTGATGACCTTTGGTGGATAGAGTTATCTGATACTCGTGGCTAGTGACACTTGTGGCTGGTGAAAGTTATCTGAATTCATTGAGTAGGATTTTGTCGTGTGAAAGATTTTCCAAATGTATAGATGTTGAATCCCCTTAAATTCGTCATATATTTATTTCTTTATATTTTAAATCCATCACTAGACAAGGTAGTTGTAGTCCCTACGCTTTGAATTTTTGACAGATAAGTTAATCTACTGTATATGCTGGATGTGATTCAGAGTGGCACTAGAAACACACATAGCACTATAGTTTAGAGGTGAATTCAAAATTTGAAGGTTCTGGATGACCCTATTTTTCATGTAAACTTACCACCAGTTATGGAGATTGAATTAGGACATACATCGATCAGTTCATTTTGTTTTGTGTTAATTCGATTCAATTTATAAAAAACTTTTTTCATCATATATCATATCATATATTACTATAAGTGGGAACAAAAGAAAGTTAAAAGTTGAATTACGATTTTACCCCTAATATAAATTAAAATATTATAAAACATTTAATTATTTAATTTAAATATTAAATTGTATCATTTTAATTAATATGTTAATGACTTTTGCACTTCCTTAGATTAATTCCTAATTAAAATATTTAATTTAATACATATTTATCATCTATAATTTATACGTATATAATAATAAATTAATAATAATAATAATAATCCAAAAATCTCTTCATAAAATGTATAATTAATTAATATTAAATTATTAAACAATAAACTGACCGTAGTATACTAATTAATACTAATGTTATTATCATCATATGAAAAGACAATGCTGTCATTGTAATTACAACCGGTTTAAAACTAAAAGAAGAGGAAGGGTTGATATTAATTTATTCATTAATTCATTCATATGATTATATCATTCATTTTTGGTCTTTTCAAATTCCCTGGATTAATGGTGGAAAAATATTCTCTTTATAGAATTTATATAAAAAATCCTACGTTCTTGACATTACTATTAATGTTATATTCATAGATGATTCTCACTTGACTTTATCCTTTTTCATATTTTTTGTAAGCTGTGCACTATATTTTTTTTCCATGAAGCAATCATTGCTCTTTTGATTTGGTTTACTTGGTCAGCCAGCAACATTTGAAGCATATAGGTAAGGATCATACCTCATTTATCTAGAGATCGTATGAAAAATATTGATGTCATTACTTTTATTTATTGATTTGGATGAACATATTTCAAAACTTTTTATTGCTGTTTTTTCTTCTTACTCGACGAAAATGTTAAAATTTAGTGGCTATGACCTTTTGAATTACTATAAGTTGCATCTACTAGCTTTAAGTTATAATTTATTATACAATCCACCTACTAACTATATTTAGATGCTCAAATTTACAGGTTTGGACAATCATTTTTCATATATGCAATAATCAAGTCATTCAAATAGGTCCATTGTCAATCAATTTCAACTTGCACTATAAATGGCTCTACTAAATTCTACAAATATTTATAACACCTTAAATCTCTTCAATCACCCCACATTTGTTGTATTATGTCAACCATATCAAATTATATATATGCCCTTAAATTTGGCAATTTAAGGTTGAGTGAGTTCAAGGCACAAGAAGTGTACTTTGAACTATAGAACAGAAGACGTTGGCAAAAGATGGCATGGAGATGGTTTATTTCCGATATTATATTACACTGCATAAGGCACAATTTTGACTAATTTCTATTTTTTTTGTAGGAATTAACTCAACAAGTCAGTAACGTTCTATAGATTTTAACCTTTGGTCAGTAATATCCCTATTTGAAGTGAGAAGATAGAACACTACATGCTTCTTCCTTGTAAGAATTCACTGCTTAGTGTATTATTAATCTTTTTTTTCAATAAAAATAAACTAATTTATGTTAGTTTCTTCACTTACATTATCTATCATAAGTTTCCCTTGAGAAGTCTATGGATTTTGAGATGCAACAACAAACTAAAAGATAAAAAACATAGATCCAAAAATGATAGATGGACTGCATGGGGAAGAAGAAGTCGAGATGGTGATATCTAGTGCACTTGAATTTGAGAAGGCTTGATTTGAAATATGAATTTATTTTTTATATGGTGTTTCATGCTCACACAAAATATATTGATGTTGACTTATTGCCACATTATATTTTATAATACAATATACATATTATTCAACTAATATTTTCTATCAAATTTCCAGTTTAAATGACTCATATAAGTAAATCAAATAGAGGGTACTTATACATGCACTTATGATTTATATATATTAAATTAATTCTCTTAAGTTGATACAACTTCAACAAACACTACTTTCATCTGACAATAACTACTTGATGAGCCTGAAATATTTGTAACCATTAGTGGTGTTGCTCATATCCATACTATTTGTCGTTGAACTATCATTTAGGTTGAATATTTTTTGATAGAGTAAAAGCACAATACAAAAAAACGTTATACAATTTGTTGACTGTATACAACTGCTAACTATAGTAATAGTTATCAAAGTAATAGAATACAATGCTGAAGGAACTTTCTTTCTTTCTTAAAACTAAGGGGATCATTTCAACTTCATTTGATATTAACTTTTGATGTGATGTACTTTGTGATGATAGTGAATATCGATTGAACTATTCATCAATTGAGCATGTATCCTTCACTTTCAGTTTTGGTGTTATTTCTAATGTTTTAAGAAGTTTAAACTATTAACATCAAATACACGTGCTCAAAACTAGTAAATAAATACACGCCAATGTACCAAAATAAATCTGGCCCGATTCATTGTAATACTCTCAATCCAATTTTTTCTTGAATAAATGAGGAAAATATATTTTTTAATAAGACATTACCCCTTTTGAATTTAAACATATTGTACTTAAATTATAGCAATAAGCAATTTTTCACTAATTCATATTTCTATAAGAAATAACAAGAGCCAAAATAACTTAAATATCAACAACACAAGTAAAGTTCTACCAAAAAAGAAGACACAAGTAAAGATTAGAGGGATAGAAAGATTTAAAAAAATAAAATTAAACTGACATAGAATTAAATTTTTGTCGACCTTTTCCAAAGGAAAAAAAAAGGAGCAAAAAATATAATATCTAGGCTAGATAAATAAGAAAAAGATGGGGTTGCTTTTGACAGAGAGAAGAAATATAAAAATGATGAAGTCAAAAAAATTGAAAGAAAGAAAATGATGCTATAGAAATTTCTAGCCTAGTATCGGAATGTCACGTCACTCCCACATAAATCCACCCATGTATAGTTACTTGGAAAAATTAACAAAAAGATTGGATCAATATAATATCTCTATAGTCTTTATTTATGTTTCCTACTGGCTACTAATTACAAATTAGTCATTGCTTTACTTTCTCATTCATTTAATTTGATGAGAAAAGTAGCAAGTCCGGTAGGGACGGTCATGAAACATAAGTTAATACGTAAAATTAAAGTTAGGTTAGTGAATTATCTATAGAGGGTTGACTTGGCTAGAATATGTCTAAACTAAATAAAAAATTGTTCCCAAAGCTGGAAAATTTCCCTAAAAAAGACGAAGACTCAAAGTCATCTCTGTCCTACTTTTAGGGCTCGTATGGTAGCTAGTAAAAAAACAAGTTATTTCATATCCGCGGTTCAAACTCAAGATCTCTGATTAAGGAAGAAACATCCTTATCCACTGCACCGTATTCTTAGGTGGTAATTCTATCGTGCTTTTAGAGTTTATTTGGTAGCTAGTCAAGAAGTAAAGTAGTAAACTATCCATGTTTAGAATTATTACAGTTTAGATTTGCAATATTTGATTTTTTTAATCTAAAAATATGATTATACTCGTAAGTTCTAAAAATTATTTAAAATATTCATAAGTTTGCATTATCATTTTATAATAAACATGTTACATGATAAAATTTAAAGTCATAGATTATAAGCTACAACTTGCTTATAAACAGTTTACAATTTTGATATTAACATTACTTTAAACAAGTTCTATGAAATATTACCATTACATACTTAAGAGTCTAATAACAACAAACATATCATCAACTAGTTTTCTTCCGAAGAATTTTAAAAAAAAATTAAACTCACATCGAATTAAGTTTTTGGCGATCTCTTCCGAAGAAAAAAAAAAGGAGCAACAATATAATACATCTATCTTCTAGATGAATAAGAAAAAGATGGGATTGCTTTGGACAGAGAGAAGAAATACAAAAATGATAAAGTCAAAGATATTGAAAGAAAGAAAATGGTGCTATAGAAATTTTTAGCCTAGTGTCGGAATGTCATATCACTCCCATCTTTCTACGTAAATTTAATTCGTCCCTGTATAGTTGGAAAAATCAAAGAAAAAATTGGATCAATATAATGTCTTCATAGTCCTCAGGTATGTTTCCTAGTAATTACAAAGTAGTCTTCACTTTACTTTTCATTCATTTAATTTGATGATAAAAGTATCAAGTCTAGTAGGGACGGTCATGAAACATACGTTGATACGTAAAATTAAAGTTAGGTTAGTGAATTTTCTGTAGAGGGTTGACTTGGCTAAAATATGTCTAAATCATATTAAAAATTGTTCCCAAAGCTGGAAAATTTCTCTAAAAAGGACGAAGACTCAAAGTCATCTCTGTCCTACTTTTTAGGGCTCGTATGGTAGCTAGTAAAGAAACAAGTTATTTATGTACTATTATTAATTTCTGTATAAGTTAATAATATTTGATAGATAGTTAGAAAATAAGTTTTTTTTTTATATAGAATTATTATAACATTTGATTTGCAATATTTGATTTCAAAAAATGATTTATATCCATAAGTTTGTATTATCATCTTATAATAAACCTGCTTCGTGCTAAAATTAAATTCATAAATTATTAACTCCAACTTGGTTATAAACAGTTTCCAATTTTTATTATTTATATTACTTTTAACATATTCTATGGAACAATGCCATTATATACTACACTGTCAAATAGCAACAAACACATCATAAATATGAATGTAATACATAAGTCGAGTGAGTCGTGCGTTTCTCTTTCTCATTCTTGTCAAGTTTTGATTAATAAATGATATGAGCTTTTTTTTTTGAGCAACTTTCACATATCGTAAACATAAAAATTATATTTGTATATTATAATTATAGTTTGTATAATTGCGCTTCATAGCAAATTTTATGTTTGCTATGGAGCTTTTGATTTATATAATTCGCTAGAAACATCCAATTTTATACAAAATTGTTCAGTTTTGTATAAATTCATTTATATATTGTAATTTGTATAATAAGATCTGTATTTGTATAATTATAAGTGTATAGGACGAAAATATATATATTTGTATTTGTATATACATTTTTCTCTCGCTTTATACAAACACAAATGCATTTTATACATTTTATACCGAAATGTATAAAATGGCTAATTGTATACCGAATTAGATGACAAAAAAATGAAATGTTTGCTGCGAATTACAATTAAAATAAACTATAGTTATAACATTTAATTTGAATTAATAGTTTGCTATTTTATACAATTTTCCCCATTTTTTTTAATAAAATATAAAAGTTTGGAGTATATTTTAAAAAGTTTCCAAAAAACCAGAATTTGGCCCAAAAAAAACTAGTTTATGAGGGTTTAGATTTTGTAAAAATTAGGCAAATCACATATTATAAGAAGGAAATTACTTCTTATCCCTACTCTTTCATTAATTACCAAAAATCCCTTTTTTAGTGTCTTTCGGATACATAATATAGCAGCGCGGATACTTTAATTAATAAAGGGTGGATACTTAAATTATTAAGTTGTTGGCACGGATACTTTAATTAATAACGGACGGATACTTAAATTAACGGGCGGATGCATAATATAGCAGCGCGGATACTTTAATTAATAACGGGCGGATACTTAAACTAATAAAGTATCCGGTTAAGTTGAATTGGGGGAAAATAAGGGATTTTTGTATTTTAGTAAAAGAGTAGGGAAATATTGAGAATAGGTAAAGTAATGTTGTGTACTTAAGTAATTTGTCCTTAGATTGTTGCCAACAAAAATGAGCCCCCCCCCCCCCCCCCTATAAATTATTACTCCCTCTATCTTAATTTATGTGATACATTTCATTTTTTCAGAATCAAACAATTTAAGTTTGATTGAAAATTAACTCATGGAATCATCAATTTGTTTAAAGTGAAATTTATATATTTGTAAACTACGTAAAATGTATTATAAATCACAATAATTAGTAATTCAAAATATTTAAAAGATATATGAAAAATTTACGATAAAAAATAGATTTATTTGAATCTCGAAAATCGAAAAGTGTCACAGTAGGCCAAATGGGTCCTACATCTAGGCCCCAATTTTTATTTTCTCTTTATAAATGACATAACATTTTTCAATTTGGTATTAGACATAGAAGAGAAATAAAAGAGAGATGGAGAGAATAGTATTGTCTCTTATAGTCGTTCTATTTCTCATGGTTTGTTTTTCATTTGGTGATCCACTTTGCTCTTCTCATGATTCCCTTGCACTTTTACAGTTTAAGCATTCACTTAACGCGACAGGCGACCATCAATATAATTGCCCAAATTATTTTTATGATAAGACGACGTCTTGGAATATGAGTAGTATGGATTGTTGTAGGTGGGATGGAATTACCTGCGATGGCTTCACTGGTCATGTCATTGGTTTGGACTTGAGTTGCAGCAGACTTGAAGGAACTATACATCCTAATAGTAGCCTTTTCCAGCTTCGTCATCTTCAAACACTCGATCTTTCCGCTAATGACTTTTCAGGTTCTCAATTTCCACAGGGGATTGGTCAGTTGGTCAGCTTAACGCATCTCAATCTTTCTTACTGTTGGTTCAAAGGGAGGATTCCATTCGGCATCTCACACTTGTCCAATTTGGTTTCCCTTGATCTATCTAATAACTATTATCCCTTTGTACACTTAAGTCAGGACGTATTCAATATGCTCTTTCAAAACGTAACCAAGTTAGAGTTACTTTCTCTTTCTCTCCTAAACATCTCATCCAGCATACCCATGAATGTATCATTCTCTTCTTCTTTGAGATATCTAGATCTTTCAAGAACTAACTTGCAAGGACACTAGCCAAAAAAAATTTTCCTCTTACCCAATCTGGAAACTCTCAGATTGTCACACAATATTGATCTCACTGTTTCGTTACCCAAGTTTAACTGGAGCAGTAGTACTCATTCACTAAGGGAGTTAGATCTCTCTTTTAATAATGTTTCTGGAGGGATACTCCATTCACTCGGAACTACTACTCTCAAAGCCTTAAAGATTCTACGACTTTCTGGGTGCAACCTTGCCGGACCATTTCCAGAATTCATTGGGAACCTTTCACAGATCACCCAACTACATCTTTCAGACAACAACTTGGATGGCAAAATTCCAGACGTTTTTTCCAACTTGCAATTGCTTACATCCTTGTCACTGGAGAACAACAACTTCACTGGCCGGTTCCCATCTTCTCTTGTGGATTTTACTAACCTTCAAGTTTTAAGGTTGAGAGACAATTCACTCAGTGGTACACTTCCCGAGTTTGAGATCAACTCTCTAAAAACACTTGATTTGTCTCGTAATCAATTCTCTGGTCCCATACCTCAATCGCTTAGACATCTTCTCAACCTAACTGTTGTCTTTCTTGGACAAAATAAGTTGAGCGGCGAGATTGGAGCAGAAATGTTTTCAAGCATGACAAACCTCTCAATTCTTGATCTTTCTAATAGTGGTTTATCATGGAGTGGCAATATCAACACCACTTTTCCCCTTCTTTCTTATTTAGCTTTACGCTCTTGTCGTGTGAAAGACTTCCCAGATTTCATATTCAACTCTAAGAAGTTATGGATTTTGGATCTCTCGGAGAATGAAATTCACGGGCAATTCCCTAAATGGTTTGGGGGTTTGAGTGCATTGGCAAACCTTAACCTCTCTCACAACTACTTTACAAGCTTAGACCATATACCTTGGGAGAGAATGACGATACTTGATCTTCAATCAAATTCACTCGGTGGACCTTTGCCATCTCCCATTTGCACATCAACTTCACTTTATATGATAAATTTGTCTTACAATAATTTGAGTTCCGAAATTCCCAATTGCTTGTTTACTTCTTCCTTGCTCAAGGTCTTAGACTTACGAGCTAATAACTTCCATGGACCCATCCCAAACAAATTCCCAAAGTATAGTAGACTAGTGCATATTAATTTGAGCAAAAACAAATTGGTAGGTCCCATACCAACATCACTAGTCAACTGTACATCCTTAAGAGTCCTTGATTTGGGAAACAATAAAATCCAATCTACATTTCCCACCTGGCTGGAAACATTGCAAGAGTTAGAGGCTCTCATACTGAAATCTAATAGATTTTACGGACCCATCGTTGCTTTTAAAACAAAATCGCCATTTCCAAATATGAGGATCTTTGACCTCTCCGGCAATTCATTTACAGGCTCTTTACCTATGGAGGTTCTAAAAGGTTTCAAAGCTATGATGTACATGGATGCACACAAATCAGGAGTGGAGTACTATGTCGAGAAAACTATGAGTTTCGGAAGTTACTTAGTCGATGAGCTTTTATATACAGGATTGTATGTGGAATCGGTGATATTGGTGATGAAAAATCAAGAGACTAAATTCAACAAAATCTTGAAGATGTTCACTACAATCGATTTATCAAGGAACAAGTTTGAGGGAGAAATCCCGAAGTTCATTGGGAATTTTAATTCACTTCTGCTGCTGAATTTATCTCACAACAACCTCACTGGGCATATTCCTATTGAAATGAAGAACATGAGCACTCTTGAAGCTTTGGACCTTTCATTTAACCATCTTACCGGTAAAATTCCAGTGGAATTGGCACGTCTCACATTTCTTGCGGTCCTAAATCTGTCACACAACCATCTTGTTGGACCTATTCCTCAGAGTAATCAGTTCAATAAGTTTTCAAATGATTCCTATTTAGGAAACTCTGAATTGTGTGGATTTCCACTGTCAAATGAATGTGGGCATCATAAGAGTGCATCAGTACCAGTTGAACAGGAAGAAGATGAACCAAGTTTTCTTAGCGAAATGACTTGGCAGTCTGTGCTAATTGGTTATGGTTGTGGCTTGACTTTTGGTTTTGGCATAGTGTATCTCATATACCTCTTTGAAAGGCCAAGATGGTGCATAGACTCTTTTGAAACTATCACTCGGGAAATGATATACATAGTACTGAGGGCACGTAAAAGGCGCAGGAGGAATTTTCACAGAACAAGACACTGAAAATCTGAGGTAATAATTAATTCATTATTTTATTGTCTGCATAATCAAATATACATCTTATTAGCAATACTTAAGGTCATGAAAACTACAACATAATCCATTAATATTAATGGGAATTGGAAACTTTGTTTATTGCACAAGCTCTAGTCCCAAAAGAGTTTCTTAGCTACTCAATACGTTAGAACTTTATTTGTTTTTTTTTTTCAATAAAAAATCAAAGAAGTGTAGACAATATCCAAATGTAACTCATTGTTTATCATTGCTATTCAGATGGCAATCAGAAAGTATGAAGCAAGAGAGAGGTCGGAGTATGCCACCAGAGCATGGGCTTGGGAAAATAGTGATTTTATAATTTTAAAATAATGCAGATTGTTGTTTTTAGTATACTAGTTTCTGGACACGTGCGTTGTGTGTGTTCAATGCAATATTTTATGAATTTGTTAGGATGATTAAAATTAAACGAAAATATGTGTGTAATGAGTACTAAAATGCAAAAATCTCAAATAAATGTTGTGACAATATTTATTTTTTATAGAAAATTAAATTAATGAAGACTAATAGAGAGAAAATATAAAAAATAAATATAGAAGAAAAAAAAATAACATACACATCCTTCTTAAGACTTCAATCATAACAATATATAAATGAAAAAAGAAATACAAAATCGGTACATATTTTTCTAAGTTTTTGTCGACACCTTCTCTTGTATCCAATCAAAATTCAAAAGTCTTCTCCATTTGAGTCAAATTAAAGCATGAATCAAATAGAAATATTACTTCATTTTCGTAAAGTGATATATAATCAGACTAAGGTAGATATATCATATACTTTAGATGTTGATGGCTTATGTACTTTTATAAAATGAAAAGGATTCTTGTATCTATAGGGGTAAAAATGATATTTCAACTTTCTAAACTTTTTTTTTTTTGTAATATATATATTTAGTAATATATGATTGTAATTGTTTGTCAAGTATTTAACATACCTCTGGCAAGATATGTATTGTATATCTCCAACCCTACACTCTAATTTACTCTCAAAATATAGAGTTTTCTGTTTTTTCAGACAACTAACTCCAATCCAATTCTCTATTTTACTCTCTAAAAAAGAATTTTTTTCTCTCTGCTTAATATTATATTATTATTTCTATGTCATTTTTATTTCCCTTTTCATAATATAAATCCTTTATTTTTCACTATGCAGAATCGATGATATTAGTGATGAAAAATCAAGAGATTGAATTCAACAAGATGTTGAAGATCTTCACAACAATCGATTTGTCAAGGAACAAGTTTGAAGGAGAAATCCCTAAATTCATTGGGAACTTGAATTCACTTCTGCTGCTGAATTTATCTCATAACAACCTCACTGGGCACATTCCTGTTGAAATGAGGAACATGAGCACTCTTGAAGCTTTGGACCTTTCATTTAACCATCTTATCGGCAAAATTCCAGTGGAGTTGGCAAGTCTCACATTTCTGGCGGTCCTAAATCTGTCACACAACCATCTCGTTGGACCTAATCAGCTCAATACGTTTCAAAATGATTCCTATTTCGGAAACTCTGAATTGTGTGGATTTCCACTGTCAAATGAATGTGGGAAGCATAAGAGTGCATCAGTACCAGTATCATCGGTTGAACAATAAGAAGATGAGCCAAGTTTTCTTCGCGAAATAACTTGGCAATCTGTCCTAATGGGGTATGGTTGTGGCTTGACTTTTGGATTAGGCATAGTGTATCTGATATACCGCTTTGAAAGGCCAAGACGATGGTTCATAGACTCTTTTGAAACTATCATTAATGAAATAATATACATACTACAGAGGGGACATAAAAGGCGAAGGAGGAATTTTCACATAAGAAAACACTGAAAATCTATTCAACAAGGGAGAGATCAGAGAGCTACTAAAGTGTCTGCTTGGAAATGCAGATTATCATGTTAATAACTAAACTAGTAGTACTATCTATTAAGTATTTATCTCACTTTTGGCAAGACACATATACTGTATAATCAACTTATTGATGAGAATTCAAAATTGAATTAGTGCAGAATCAAACGTCTTCCAACATGGAAACTCAAATACTTGATCATTCTGTTCATCTCGAAAGTTAAAACAATTTAAGAAAGGACATCTAAAGACAAGGTTACAAAATAAAGAAAGTCTTTATTGAAAGAAATAGTGACCTGGAGTATTTCCTAAAAATAGATGCCCAATTTGAAATAATTTATTTTATTAGCAAATGCTTATCCAATAATTAAAAAAAATTAAGATTCTCTATGTTGTTAGAAGTTCTTTTTACCATTATCTAAGTGAAATTTAACTATGAATTTACGTGTATATAACCTATACTAGTTTTTGAACACGTGCGTTGCACGTGTAGATCATGTTAATTAGTATAAATACTGTTAAAATATAAGTGTACGATGTGTAAAATACAAGCTCAAATCAATGAACGGTGAGCATATTCAACTGATATTATGATCATTGCAAGACACATCATACAAAAATATTGTTATAAAGTGAATTCAAAACTAATACTATAATGACTTCAATTATACAATTCTTATAATATATCACCTATTCAACTTGTTAAAAGTTCTTTTTGTAACATGTTACAACATGTAATTTAATTGTCTACATTATAGATATAAAAGATTTAATGCCTTAAAAGTTTTCGCCTTCTTTTTAAGGAATAATACCCTCCACTTTTTTACATATGCATACATATCGAGAACTTGTCGTCAAAGGAGAGTGGTGTTTTGTAATAGTTTTAGAGAAATTCGATCAACATATGTCTTCCTTAGGATGGCTAGTAGTTTATTATTAATTTCATAGTCTAAACCTACAAAAAAAATATTATTTGTTATAAAATAATCATTGTTTAAATATTTGATTGACATATATAAATAATAATTACATGTATATGTACCCTTCGTCTTATTTGGCTCATTCAAAATTATTATTCTCTCATCTATAATTTTTGACAAAAGAAATTTTTATCAAGTTAATACATATAATTGAATTATGAAATACAACACAATCATTTGTGAGATATTAACAGTATGGTAGAAAAAAGAAAACAATATAAACCAAAAATTATATGGTGCAAAAAATAAATGCATATAAAAAATGATAACTTTGAATATATATATACACACTTATGGACCAACCTAAAAAACAAATGAATTGCATATAAGAAAACTTGAAATCATCATATATTAAAATAAAACCAATAGAGCTTCATAAGAATAAAGATAAAAAGGATCATACAAGAAATAGGATAAATGAGAGGATTAAGCTCTCAAGTAACAAAACAAAATAAAAGATGAAGAGGCATACCTGTTGAGCTTGTTTCATCCAAGTAATGACTAGTTTAAGCAAAAACAAAATAAAATTTAAAAACAAAATCCTCTCTTGCGTCCATTTATATTTTCATAACATTGTAGTTGTGAACATAATGAGTATAATTATTAGTAATTAGTTGAGAATACCAAAATTACTCCAAGCCAAATAGCATCGGATACATTGCAAGGCAATATGTATAGTGATTTTATATTTCTACACAAAATAGTAACAAGAGAATCCAGAAAAGAGAAACAATCATAAATAAAGAATTAGAATTGAAACAATCCTTTCTAATTTGAAAAAATCTTCAAATGATAAAAATCTTACAAACAAACAATAGAAGATGGAAAAAGAAGGAACTTTAACATATGAGTACATAGAAATGCTAGTGGAAGAATTGAAGATAACAAATTTGTATTTGGTAGTGGTATATACTTATTTAGCTACAACTCTTCATATTCTTTAATTTAATATTAAAAGGTGGAAAACCTTAATTCATGTACTTATTATTTAATATTCTAGAAATCTTAATTGACTCTTGTTCTTCCACATTCTCTTCCTAATAAATAACTTACTCCCTCCATTCCATATTAACTTAAGCATTCCATATTAACTTAAGCTTTGAGCCCTTTTTCATTTTTCAAATTAACTTAAGTTTTAAATCTTCAAGACTATTTTTAAAATATTCTTCCAATTTTACCCTTTAAGTTAGTATTGGAATTAGTTATTATAATTGATGTTTAGTTATTTTTGACAATAGTGGAAAATTATGTTCATTTATGTCCTAACCTAGTTTTCTTAAAGGGTGTGAAACACGTCAAAGCTTAAGTTAATATGGAATGGAGGGAGTACAATTCAAAAAATAATTAAAATAATATTATTTAATTAATTAGATGTTTAATTTAGTCCAAGGGTAAAATGGTAATCCAACTTTTCATGTTTGGAGCTTCCCACTTATAATAATACTAGTCTCTTGGCACGTGCTTTGCACGTGAATCCCATATTATTCAATATAAACTTTTAAAAACAACATAAATAATAACAAAATGTGTGATGAATAACACAATTTAAAATTAAATAAAAATACAAGCTTGAAATAAATAAGAATTATTCTATTTATTGTATACGCATGTCCACAAACAACTCACAAACACACAAATATAATGAGCGCAGGAAATAAACGAAAAACAAAAATATAATATGGTCATGAAAACATTATGCATGATGAGAGGAAGTAGAAACGAATACAAATCAAACTTGCTCAAAATAACTTGTTTCTCTTCATTTATAAATAACTATTACAAATATTCAGCAAAAGTAAGGAAGATAGTGACAAAAAAAGAGTGATAAAGAGAAAAGACGGAGGAACTCACCGTGTATAAATATTTATAGTTTTCTCTTCAATTAACGCATCACCTAAACAACTTATGCCCCTTGCACTTGCAAGATAAATTATTTGACAAATCAAACAAAATTTCAGTTTCAAAAGTACGTCTGAAATTAAATGGACATATATCTAACCGATATTCAAAGAGAACTACTTAAGAGTCATGTGTTACCCAATATCCAAAAAGAACTACTTAAGAACTATGAGTTGCAGTACAAAGAAAGTCTGCAAGAGGGAAACATTCACCTAGTCTTGGTGTATGCTGATGACATTTTCATAGTAGTCTTTAATTTTATTATGAAGATAAATTTTATAAACTGTACTATCAATTTTTTCAAACAAATGCATAGTAGAGTTATGCTCAGCCATGCATGAAACTTCTTTCTGATTGTGTATTGTTGTTGATCAATTTAAACGATGTTGGCCCACATCTGATAGTCATCCGATACAATGCTTTGATTGTTCATTCAATACTACAAAATGATATAAAAAGGATATAATATGACCACTATAAAGAAGACTAAAATAGTGTCCCATTAAAAAACGACTTATTAACAATCTTAGCTCGAATTAGTAGTAAAATTAAAAAGTCTCAATTAAGACGTGAGACATGCAAGTTATCGCATATTGTGAATGCTAATTATGATTAAACTCATATGTACTTCAATCGTAATTTATGTGATATCGATTTGATTAGGGTTAAATTATTTTTTAATATAGACATATAAATCGACTTAAAAATAAAATGTAAGTAGAATAAAGAAAATATTAAAATTATACATTTATTCCATAAATTCAACACTTAAATAACAAATCGTACGTAAGCAAAATCTAAATTTGTCCAAAAGAAAAGGAATAGTATTGTATTACCTTTTGCCTGAGAAGATACACCAAACAAGAAATAAACAGTTGTAGGTTCTTATGGAGCCAAAATGAAAAGAATAAAACGATAAAGTTTTCTGATGGTGTGGTTTGGGCTTTTATAAAGAATAGAATACGAAAAGTATTGAAGATAGTGACCGATTAGATAGTTAGTTAATTATGAAATACCATTAGTAGGTTTAATTCTTTTTCTGTTAAGTCTGTTAGGTTGTTACAAAAGCATGATGTATATAAGTAGAAGTTCTTCATTTTCATTTTCAGTTGTAACTGAATAATAAGATTCCAGAAAGTTCCAATTCTCTCTCTGAAATTCAAGATGGTATCAGAGCGGTGAATCAACAATTGTTTGATTCAATTTGACGATTCGATTCTGGAGTTCATCCATTGATGCAACAATGCCTGCTTCGACTGAGGAATCGACAGTTGCGATCGAAGTACCGGAAACACTTGCGATAGTTAAGTCGAAGAGGAATCATCCTCTTTATCTTCATCCGTCAGATACTCCTGGTAGTATCTTGACCACAGTTCAACTTACCGGAGCTGAGAATTACTCACTCTGGAGTAGATCTATGTTAATCAACCTGAGGGCGAAGAGTAAGCTGGGCTTTGTCCTTGGAACCTGTAAGAGAAACGATTATACCTTAGAGCTAGCAGAGCAATGGGAGAAATGCAACGCGTTTGTTCTCGCTTGGATAATGAACACAGTGTCGAAGGAGTTGCTGAGTGGGATCGTTTACGCATTGGATGCTGCAATGATATGGGTAGATCTAAAAGAGAGATTTGACAAAATCGATGGATCAAGAATCTATCAATTGCACAGGGAAATTTGCACAATTCACCAAGGTAATTCAACTGTTTCAGCATATTTTACCAAATTGCGATTGATGTGGGATGAATTTGATGCAATTGTGCCCCCGCCTTCATGTAATTGTGATGGATCTAGAGTTTATGTGGATCACATTCAGTATTTGCGTCTGTTTGCTTTTTTGATGGGTTTGAATGAAATGTATGGGCACGCACGCAGCCAAAT